ATTTTAATAAATATTTATTAAAAAATTTAAAATATATTATTTTTAAAATATAAATTAAAGTATTTTTTATCATTTGTTGTAATGCTTTATTAAAATGACGTAATTTTAAAATAATTTTTCTCTTAATTTTTAAAAGGTAAAGTAAATAAACACTAATACCATATATATATATATATGAGAAGTTAAGTGTTTAACATTATAAAAATTTTAATTTTAATTATTGATTAAAGTTAAAATATTTAAATTGATAAATATTAATTTAATTAAATTTTTATTAAAAAAATATTAATATCTTATCCCATAAACGATAAAAAAAAACATAAGTCATGTTGTTCTTTTACTTATATTCTAAAACACATCAAATGATTGCCGCGCCCTTTGACAAAGATTAAACCTAGAGGAATGCTAGCTGCACTCGCCTTTCTCCAGCACTCTCCAACACTCTCTCATGTAAAATGTCCACGTAACAAAATTTGGCTCGCAATTCAAAGTTTCCAACTAGAAAAGTTCACGTGGCTATTTTAGATGAGGGAGTGTCGGAGAGTGCTGGAGAAAGGCGAGTGCAGCTAGCATTCCTCTTAAACCTATGTGCGATAATTATATTTGTACACGGTTGCAACACTTCATTAGCGACAGCGTGGCCCGTTTGGCGTTTTTTGTGTTTATCACTTTATCTTGATCATTTATTTCAGGGTCCACAGGTGGTCAAAGAAATACATTGTTTGGATAGATATCGATCCATGCATGCCAAACAATTGTTACGAGGATCCAAGTTGGATTTCATTCAGGTCGGCAAAGGGGAGGAAGCCTATCGGCATAAGCATGCATAGAAAGCATCAGTAGAGTCGTTTCAAAAAAAAAAAAAAAGCATCAGTAGAGTGGTCTCTGGGACCAGCAAATAAACTTTAACAGATCTTATTTTCTTTAGCGTACTAAGCAGATATGGGAGGTAAGACTTTAACATCATATTAGAAAAAATTAGTTTTAAAATATGTATAATTGTCACAAAGTAATACTAAAATCCTTGATAGAGAATTCTTGAAAATCATTATATCTTCATAACTAAAATGTTAGAGTAATAATTAATACTTATCAATTCAATTATTAAATTTTGTAGTTGAAATTTTTCATGCCTTCAATTTAAGTTTGAAAATAATAATTTTTTAATAAATACATTGTGAAATATATTGAATAAGAAAGTACACAAATCATTGTCCAAAATGTTAACATTAATAATGAAAAAAACTAAAATATTCTCAATAAATCAATATATAAAAATGATTCATTGGGGGTATTTAAACAATTTCACAAGAAATCTTAACATTTAAAGTGTCAGAATATCTTGATTTTTACCTTT